ACGTTTCTATGGAATGAATTGTAGTATTTCTACTATAAAACGTCGTTTACGTCACGCTAATTTGTTTGGAAGACGCCCAGCTAAAAAACCATTAGTTTCCTTGAAAAACCGTATCGCCCGAACCGAATTTGCATCAAAACATCTAAAGTGGTGTAGTCAAAAATGGTCAAAAATTCTTTTTAGTGACGAAAGCAAATTTATGCTGTTTGAATCCGATGGAATTAGGTATGTTCGACGTCCAGTAGGTACTAGGTACAATCCTAAATACCAACTGCCTACCGTAAAACATGGAGGAGGTAATGAAATGGTTTGGGGATGTTTTAGCCGAAATGGAGTTGGTCCTCTCCATAGAATTACCAAGAATATGAATCAAGAAAAGTACAAAGATATTATGTTACCATATGCAAAGGATAAAATGCCTCGAGGATGGATTTACCAACAGGATAACGATCCCAAACATACAGCTAAATCGGTTTTAGAGTTTTTTAAAGAGAGTAAAGTTAATGTTTTGAAGTGGCTATCCCAATCACCTGACTTAAATCCCATTGAACATCTATGGGAACAGCCTACAAATTATGCTGATTTATTTAATAAAGTCAAAGAGTTATGGGACTTAATTCCCATTGACATTTGCATTAATTTAGTTAAATCTATGCCTCATAGATGCCAAGCTATTCTTGATTGTAAAGGATATCCTAAAAAATACTAATGTGATTTTGCTTTTGCAAAAATTTTGATCAAATATTGTTGAAATATTTTAACTATTTTAAAAAATAATGCTTTGTCCGCAAATTTTTGAACTTATCAAAGACCGTTGATTTGTATACCAATTTAAATATATTATTTAGATAATAATTATTTGTTCAAAACCTAATTGTAAATTTGAAAACCTTTTAATTGGTATATAATATGTTTGCTTTAGTAAAGCATGTGCTGAAATATAATTAAAGTTCTTTATTTTTTTGCTTGTCCGCAAACTTTTGGACGCTACTGTATATATATATATATATATATATATATATATATATATATATATATATATATATATATATATATATATATATAAATATCTTTAGGCACTTATCCTTGTATAAAACATCATTGATGATTTCATAACGAAACTTTTTCTAAATTAACTGTGTGGATTTAAGCTTTTTAAAATTTTGAAGGTGCAAAGTGTATTAATATAGTGCTGACTTAAATGAGCAAAAGTGAATCAACATTTTGAAGGTGAGAGCAACATAATGAGCTATAATACTGAACTTTTGACATATAAGCTCTGGTAATTGTATTAGCATTATCAAACGTTTCCTAACTACTTCATTTTATTAATATCAACTGTGTTTATGCATGCTGCTGCAGACAGGCCTATTTAAAGTTTTAGATAGCAATTTGTAACCCAATTAAATGGACACTTGACCTTTGCCTTATTAAAAACAAAGGTCAAGGTTTCCAGGCTTTGTTTAATCATAGATAAAAATTAAAAAACATAAGTTTAGGGTCTTCTGTAAAGTATGCACATAAAGGAAGGTAGGGGGATGAAAGACTGTTAATATGTACATAGTTTGATTATCTCTTTTTCTGTTTCTCCAAAAAAAAATCTTTTTTGTAAACAAAAGCATTGAATTTCATGAGTTTAAAAAATTATTATTATGCAATATAACATAGATATAGCGAAGTAACTAAATATTTATTTGTTTTTAATGTTTTAAAAATTTAAGGCATTGGGAAAAGAGGATAGGGCGGGGAGAGGGGAGGTGGAGAGTAAGTGGAGAAGGGGAGGATAAATTTGAATATCTAAATTAAAAAAAAAAATTATGTTTGTTAACAATCTGTGTGTCATAACTTTTATTACTACCGTATGATTTAGGTAAAAATAACTTTTTCAAATCTGTGGCGGAAGAAAGTTAATTACTTGCTTGAACAGTTAATGACAGTGCTATTTAAGCTAATAAAAAAGTATTTTGACAGACTTGAAATACAAAAGTTCTGATTTTGAATATCGTCTCTCGCAATAAAATAAGGGTATATTTTCAAAGCTCATAGTGAGAGGAAATCTCTACCTCCCCATTAATTTAGATGGACACCTTGATTTTCCTACATGAAGTATTGTTCTACAACTCAGTAGCATTCTAATTAAATAACCATTCTAGTTAAATAATCCAAATTAAGGAATTATTTGATGAATATGTTTTAAACTCATTATAACTCTGTCTTTCTTTCAGCAACTCCATTTGATTGAGGATAATATAGAAAACTCTTATAAGGCCAGCAGGCTAATTTTTCACCCACTTGCATAAAGTGTTATAATGAAATTCTGCAGCACTATCTGATAGCACTATCTGGGACTCTACATCTTGAAAAAATACTCTGGAGTACGGTCCCAATTGTGAGACCTTCATGATTTCTAACTTAAATAAAATCAGGCCATCCAGAGAAGACAAATAAAAATAAAAATAGTTCATGTCTCTATACCATATCTCTGTATGGTCCATATGCACCATGCACCCTCTGCACCATGGTTTATTTTCACAAAGCCTCGTATGTATTGTCCTTTCATTCACTTTTATCTCTGTGCATTTCTAACAACTTTTTATATAATCTTCAAAATCTTGATATTAACTAGATTATCATACTTTCAATTTTAATTTACAGTTAAATTCTTGTAATTTAAACTCATATAACTCAAAAGATCATTTAAATTAAAATTCTTCAGTCCTTTCTGGTTTAACATTTAGAATTAAACTTCTATAATTTGAAAACTTTTTTAATTTTTTTTTAGATTTATCAGCAATTATCATGCACCATAGTTTTAAAGTTTTAACACACTTGTTAAAGTAAAAACATGCAGTGGTCTTTCAAAAATTGCAACAACACCAGAAACTGTTGAGTATTGTTTTTAAAATTGAAATTTTAAAAAACCATATTGATACTGTTTTGAAAAAATACAACTTTGACAAAGTATAAAATTGCTGATAAAATAAGCATTTCAGACAAATAACTTCACATTTCACACCTAGAATTACATATGAAACAATGTTCAGAAAGTTAATGTCATATTTGTTAAAAATTCAACAACTGCTGAATTTAAAACAAAATTCTCAGTGTAATTTAAAGCCCTTTAAGCAAAATAAAACTGATTCTGTGAGTAGTTTTATAACTATGAATAACTTAGATCATGATCATAAACTAAAAACACTCTACAGATTCAATAAGGTTGTGACCCTAAACTAGAACAATAACATTAACAACTGGCTGAAGCTGGATGCTTTGCTCCAAAACATAATAATTTAGAACAATAAGAAAAAAAAAGGATAGGTAAAAAAGATTTACATTGGCAAAAAAACTATTTGTATCCTAAAGATATGCTAGGAGTTTTTCAGTAAGGGGTTCCATTGAGTAAATAAGTAAAATAAGATAGCAAGTCTGATGGACCATTACAGGCTGATATGATTGGCTGCTATAGAGCATTTGATTGATTTATTTTCAGTAGACTGTATGAAAAAAAAGTTAGGCTGTTTTTACATCCATGGTGTTTTTACTTGGCATGAAGTCTATAAGTGAGATGATGTTAATTGTTTTGTACATAGTTGGGTTGTATAATAATTTAATGTTTTTTGGGATTCAAGAGATATTACCTTGAAAATGATAAAAAATCTCAGAACATTATTGTCACCTTGATAGCAAAAATCCAAAGAAAAAACCTACAAAAGAAAAGTTTTCACTAGTAGATTCATGTGTTCACACAATTTAATTGAAAATTAAATCAAACTAATTTAAGTATGAATCCTTACAACATCACATTTACCCTGTTTTGGATTTGAATATAGTAAGTATCAAAATTAGATCTTTTTATTTTTGATTTTAAAATTTTTTATTTAATCTTAATCATATCATTCAAGCTTATAAGTTATGCATAAATAAGATACAAAAATATTTACATGCTGGAATAATAATATTGGTAAAATAACATTGCATCAAATTATAAAAGTTCTACAAAAGTTCACCAATAATACAGTTTACTAGATAAACTATGTTTGTTTTAAATTTATTTTTTAAACATACAAACAATATTCAACATAAATAAATTGATTTACTTATGTGAAGAATTTAAGGCTAATCATGCGAAAAATTCAAGACTTACATCCATCAATATAGGAGAAATTTGATAATTTTACTTTTTGTTCGTTATTTTCACTGTTTAATTTTTTATATTTTAACTTAATTACTTATGATTTAATTTCTCAAATATTCTTATGAGAGCTATTGAAAACTGATTTTTGCTCTTTTGAAATTCCGAAAATTCCGAAGTTATAAGCAAGCCATTAATACTTTTTATAGCTTTTTAAATGTCATAACAATTATTGTTATTATTATAAATTTGAATACTTTTGATCATATCTCCTTTAACCATAAAATATCATATTTTTAAATATTTGTTATACCTGCAAAAAGATTTTAGAGCTATAGAAGGGGATTTATACAAGTTAGAAGCAAATTTAAACAATGTAATCAATTAAAAAGTATATAATATTTTTAATATTGATTGAAAAGTTTTTTATACAGTACATTATTTTTAAAGTGATTGCTTGTTAATAATTAAAGTTCTCATGTAACTTTTCAAAAATATTTATAAATTTTCATATTTATTATATACCCTTTTTTTTTATATTTGTTATTATTTACTTTATAATTTATTAACATAAATAACTTTTTCTATATAAAAATGTTTAATTTTAACAATTTTAGTTTTGTCAAAACTTTTGAAAATTAAAAAAAAAAACATTACAGTATTACTATTATTATTTTAACTATTTGTTTTCGTTATCTATTATTACATATACTCTCAAATGTTAGTAAGAATACTATTAGTCGTAATTTTTGACAATATTAATTAAATAAATTCCTATTACTATTAATAGTATTAGTAATATAACGCTTAATATAGTATTTATTTAGGCATTCAAATAAATAATCCCTTTTAAAAAAAGGAAGCTCACCGAGCTTACAGCAAACTGAAGAATTTTTTCAGGCACAAAGTGTAGGCTAGCAAACAAATTCTCAGGACTTCTAAACTCAAAATCATTCGATACAGCGCTTGTGAGACCAACATTGGCATCAGCATTATTGGCGAGAGACATTTTACCTGCCATTTTCTCTGCCGCATATGTGCAAAATGGTGGCATTTATTATTAAGCGGAATATTTTTCTATATTCAATTTAATAAGTAAAATAAATAAACTGGAATAAAAGAATGAAATCCTTTCACAGGGAAAAAAATATTATTTTGCATAATGTTTTAGATGGAACTAAAAATAACCGCAAAGTTCCGCAGTACAATAGAGAAACTAAGAGGGTCCTCTAACTACTCTGTTGCAAAATAAGAAACAATTTAGAACAACAATCACTTAAAAATTTTAGAACATTTATTCTTCTAACCCATCGCGTTAAGTGATAATAAATTGAACTTTAAAAATATATCCTATAATATTTTAATATCGGCTCCTGCTGCTGCCGTTACTAATTTTGCGTGTTTGTACCAAGGAGGTTTAATAAACCTCCTTGGTTTGCACAGAACTCGTGGCAACCATTGCTACCAAGTTAATGGCAGGAAATAGTCGCAGCACTTTTTGTCTAAGAAAATGTGAATGAAAGTGTATGCAAATTATTATCTTAAGTAAACTTCAAATTATGTAATGTTAAAACAAATTTGTTCCAGTTTTACTTTTACTTGAAAATTGTATTGCGGCAATGTCTCCTTAAATATCTTAATATCTCCTTAAATATCTTAATATCTCCTTAAATATCTTAATATCTCCTTAAACTTGATTTATAGCATTTAATTGCCGTTTTATAGAATTTTTTTTGATTTTTTAAAGTATAAAATAAAACACTTTTGAAGTTCTATTGATATTTTTACTTTTATTTGAAATTGCGGCGAAATCTCCTTAATTTTAATTTATAGCGTTTATTCAGGGCCGGGTTAAGTACTTTTTGGCCTCCTGGCACTCTAGGCCTTATGGCCCCTGTTGGTCTCCTAGTATTCAAATTTAACAGCAATTGAAAATAAAAAATCTTTGTATTTGTTGTGCTATGGTTTTATAATGTATTTTCTTTAGTATTTAAACAAGTATCTCGCAGTATTTATTACTAAAAACGCGCTAAAAAATAGCTAAACAAGCATCAGCAAGCTGACCAACGAGTTTGTGAGAGAGTCTAGGAATCCTTAACACGTATTCCAACAAGAAACTTTGATTTTAAGATGCGTTGATGCAAGAAACTTTGACTTTATGACATTGATGCGTTGATGCGGAAAAGAAGTTATAAGTTTCTTGTAGAAAGCTAAATAAATTAATAGCAGTTGAATTCCGCGGCACTCACTACCAAGAGGTTCAAATAGTGAGTAGCACTTGGAATGTATTTGGCAAGAACGTTGATTTCTTTAATTCGTGCTTGTAAACCAAAGTAGATTCCAGACATATTACTCGCATTGTCGTATGACTGGCCACGGCAATTTTGAATGTTAATTGCATAACGCGTGTAGATTGTATTGATCTAACTTTTTTTAAACGATTTTAAGCATGGAAACTGCAAAATGATTATGCATGGGAATGAATGCTAAGAACCGTTCAACTGGTTTGTCGTTTTGTATACATCGGGAGTAGAATCAACGATGATTGAAATATATTTCGCGAATTCGATTTCATTAACTAAGAAATTATGTTTAAAGTAAATAAAAAAAGATTATACTATAACATATAACTTAAGGATGATTATTTTACCTATAAATTCCATAACTTCGGCGGCTATTAATTATATGAGTTCTTCGCAAATGTCTTTAGATAAGTACAAGGTACAACCTTTTCCTTTGTTTTCATAAGTTATCAAGTACTGGGCGAGGAAAGGATCTAATTTTACAAATAGCTCAAAACATCCAATAAAGTTTCCATTACTTATCGATCCTAGTTTTTTGTTTGATTCGCAGAATGATAATCCTCTGAGAATGTACAATAAATAAAATATCCAATTATTTTAAATTTCTTTTTTTCACCATTATCTTTTTAAATTTTTTTTAATTTGATCACCATTATGACCGAACTTAGAAATTCTTTCAAGTCGTTAAAAAAATAAAACGTTTAGTTTGCGATACGTCGTACGCGCTGAAAGATTCCAAAGATTAAAAATCTCTGAGATATGAGAGGAAGTCAAAGAAGTCAATAATAATTTTTCTTTCAAATTTTATATCTCTCAAAAATTCACTTAGATGCTCTAGCTTCTTGAATTCCGTGGCCTCCCGGCACGTGTTTAGTGTGTCCGTTGGTTAAACCGGCACTGCATTCATTTGCCGTCTTATAAAGTTATTCCGTCTTTTGTTTACTAAATAGTATTAAAATTTGGCAGAGTAGTGTGCCCTTAGTGGACGAAGTGGTTAGCTCGCTGCGTTTCTGAAGTACAACGCGAGGATTCAAATCCTGTCGCTTGCACATTAAATTTTTCTTTTTTTTTTTAAAACTTTTCCGATTTTCTAGAATACAAAAAAAAAACATTTTTAAAGTTCTATTGATTTTATATACATACCATATATAAAGATATTATATATTATAACTAACAAAAGGGAGAGAGTTTTTAAGAAAGCTTTAAATTTCAATCAACATTAAAACAGCCGTAGAAATTTAAGCATATGTCACGATAGAGATACTTAAGTTATTAACGTGCTTAGGTAATTAGTTAAGTCTGTCCGTTTAACATACATTAAAGAGACAACTTTTTTTCTTCTAGGTAAAAAAAATTTTGCATTCAAACGTTTATATTTTTCAATATTATTCAACGGGGCGAGGGTCCTAATAAACTGTGGATGGTCTGGAAAAAAATTTAATAAAAATTTAGTTAAAAAAAAAATTTAGAAGTCTGTACCCATTTTTACTTTATAGAAGTTTACAATTTTATAATTAGAAGTTATAAAGTATTGAACATTAATCGTTAACTCAAAACAAAGTTTTGACAGATTTTTAACTTCTACTACTTACTAAAAATTATTGAAATAAAAAGACTACATAAATAAATAATAAAAAATAAGACTATATAAAAAGATTACTATAGAAATGGTCGGTATGCACACTATAAATTTTGGGTCATAATACCAAAACAATTTCCATCAAAACCTTTTGAACCGTAGAAAGTACATGTTAAGCCAAACTTGAAATGCCCAATTTTAAAATCTAAAATTAAAATCTTGAAGAGTTTATTCACTTTTTAAAAACAATATTATAAGTCCTAGAAAAACAAGTTTTTAAAAAGTAATTAAAAGTAAGTAAAAAAAAGTATTTTATATAAAAAATTCTCCAAATTACAAAAGTTTATTTCAAACAAAGAAGAGATTCAAAAATTGGCTATTGCCAAACCATTTTTATTTCAAATGAAAATTCTTAATATTTATCAGCTGAATATTTTTGATATACTTTGTTTTATGTACAAATGTAAAACAAACGCATCTCCAGTTACTTTTCATAATCTATATACCTTGAAAGATAAAAATAAATATAACTTAAGAAATGATAATCTATTTCGGCAACCTTTATCTCTAATTAATTTTGGAAAGTTATGTATTTCATATCGAGGAGCTTTTCTTTGGAACAAAATAATTTTGAAAAATTTTGATTTTTCCCATGAATGGAATTATCTTTCTTTCAAGAAAAAACTAAAAGAAATTGCTTTATCTTTTGAAACATATTTTTATATTTTTAAATTCTTCTAAAAATGAATATGAAGCTTATTACATAAAGTAATATATAAATATTATATCTGATCCACATCTTATGTGTTTATGAAAACAGTACTTTTTAAAATATTTTTGTATTTATATAAAAAATATTTATATTAAAAATTTCTTTAAACCAATTTTATTTGTATATTCTTACGAAATTTACGTTTTAGTTAATTATTACTCAATATTACTATGACATTGTTTTTATTTTTTTTTATTTTATACTTTATATTAATTTAATGTACTTAATATTCACGAGCGGTTTTCGATAATAAGACCTGAAGGTCTTCTGCGAGTCTCGGCGTTCTTTTTTTTGTTTTTATTTTTATACCTGTATAACGATTTTTATCTTAACTATCTTATTGTATAAATTTATTGAATATTTAAGAAAAGAACTTTTCTTAAATAGCTATTCTTTAAACATATAATAAAATTTTAATAATCTAAACTTCGTATAAGCCAATTTGAAAGAATTTTTGATACTCATATTGATTTACAAACATTCTATGGCAATAACTTTAAACTGTTTTGCTGTTGTAATCCAAAATACAGTTTAAAAGTTGTTTGGGGTAATCGTTGTGAGATATATCACGCTTATATCTCTCCGAATGGGTTTTGAAGTGCAAAATGGTTCTTTTTGATGAATCATGGCACATGGAAAAAGATTACATAAGCTTTTGGTGTAACTGAAATTTGCAACGTTAGATAACTTGTTATGAATTTTTTGATTTTCAACTCATAATCCAGATCCAAGACACAACCAAAGCAAGTAGAAACAACATCCTTGAACGATGCCAAACAGTTGCAAAAATCCAATGCATGTTTTGCATTCTCAGATCAGATAGATTTTTCAACTTATCTACTTTACTCAACAGGTTCATGCAGTCATTGCCATGGTAGTGCCTCTCATGGTAAGGCAAAACAGGAATATGAAGTGAATTAAGCTAATCAACTGTTTTTGGCCACATCTGAGCAAGATTTTATACATAATGGTTGACAAAACCAATGAGCAAATGCAATTCCATTAGTGGAATCACTTCCAAAAAACTTCTTTGGTCTTCAAAAGGAAAAGTTGGAGGATGCACAGCATTATGGAATAATTTGGCACTCTTTGTGTTTCTTCCACTGTTAATAAAGCCCTGATAATGTTTTCTGATTTTTCCAAAGGTTCTCATCTCATCACACTCAAAGAATTTTGTTAACTCAACTTCACTTGATGGTGCTCACTTTAAAATTTTCTTGTAAAATTTTCTCATAGTCTGCAAGTTTTTGTTGAAAATTTGCCTCAAACAGTTGAGTAGAGCTAATTTTATTGAAAACAGATCCAAGTTTTCTCATGCCTGTTTTTGAAAGTCCTGTCTTTTTTTGAATGACAACCATTTTTTGAGTGCTTA